TATGTCCCCAATTTGTCTGCTGGCATTTAGTCTGTGTTTTGAGCCACAGAGATTACTTAGTAGAAACTGTTTGTAGATCATAATATTGATTGCCATCATTCGATATATGAAGTCAGTCAAGCAACTAAATCTACTTCCTCAGTTCAGCTGACTCCTGTAGCAGATCTGAGTGAGAGCGGTAAGAGGCTCTACATTAGTGGTAATCAGCTAAAAATATTTAGTTTTCATACTAAATCCTGGGCATTGGGACTTAATGTTGCAGATAGTCATGCGGTTTATGTTTGAAGATCAACATTGCAGAGACAAGAAGCCTCTTAATGATTATGAGTTCATGAGCGGACTTCTATAATAAGCTGAAAACCTTGGCGGTCGGTCTTCAGAAACTCGTTTGAGATGGATGACTCATTGTATTAGTAGCTGGAGGTGTTGGAGTGTACCTGCTCAGTGGGACAGTAAGACCTTGGTCTGGTCACCAGCAAGAGGCTCTCATGGGGACTGAGCATCAGTAGGCTATTTTTGTTCTCATGCAGAACCTGCATAAATAAATAAATGTTTTCAAGATATGCGAGGTTCATTCATAAAAAGAATAACCTCATAAAAGATTCCCTGACAGTAACTACTTTTCTCTCACCCAGATATATCCTGCCAGTCTCTGGATCAAACCAGCAAACTCACAGTCAGCTCCTGCTCCTCTAACCATTAGGCCACTGCTGACAGTTTTTCATATTTGCCTTTTTTACTTGACTGTGTTATGTTTAGCTCACACTCTACACATGGAGAAAAAAGTGTGTCTCTGTGTGCTGTAGTGCTATATACTGTAAGTGTGTGCTGTTGTTTGCAAGTGTGTGTGTTTTCAGCATATTAACATTTTGGTTTATATATAGGAGAAATAATAAAGTGTAAGTGGCTGAGTTAAATTTACCACAACGACAGCATAACTGATGACTGCTATGCATGACGTGTTGGTCCTCATTATAAGTTCGTACTCTCTCTCTCTCTCTGTTCTTCTCTCAAAGCTTTTATGCAAGCCAAACACACACACACACACACACACACACACACACACACACACACACACACACACACACACACACACACACACACACACACACACACACACACACGCACACGCACACAACCCTTCCAGCTTGCATTCAGACCATCTAATCACACAGTGACTCACTTTATTTGATGGCTCCCCATTGGCAGAGCTGATGAGTTAAAAATAAAGAGGCATTATGCCATCAGCAACATCTTTTTATGCGACATATATGATCACTTTCCCCAAATGTCACATTGCCACCTGACAAAAACCTTATTCTACTTTAGTCTCCTCAGCCTCTCATTGTTTTCATGTCAGGTATTTTGGTTTCTCGAATTTTCTGCAGATTTTCCCCCTGTGCTTTTCTTACAAAATTCGAAGCTTAAATTTAAAGTTGCTGCCCAATGACAGAACAACAATCAAATCTGAAGTTTAAAGTTTGAACGTGAAATATAACGTTCAAGTTTGAGGGATGGCTGAGTCCTACATGGAAAATAATTTTGGTAAATACTCATACTCTCTGAGTCAACTGAATTTACGTATTGAATGTCTGCCCGCTGTATTTGCAGATTTCCCATCTAAGGCCTGGCATCATTCAACGTGGCTGTAATGAGAGATGGAAGTGGAAGTAGCATGCGGTTTATTTCAACCATCTGTGACTGGCCTGAAAATTCCCTTTAATATTTTTCTCTGCACTGTACAGGAATAAAATGGCTTTCCTGCGATTTGATCTGTGTCAAGGAAGTGAAATGCTCATGATTTTACTAGGAGTGTAAGAAGAGGATTTATTTTGCAAGAGACAAATTTTAAATCTCTCTGATATCGTGTCTCTCTTGGAAAAACAATAAATTATGAATGTTGCTGGTGTGCTTGTGGGGGTAAATATTTCATCATGTATTTTGTATTGACTAACATGAAACTGAAATGAGTTTTCAAATATATAAAACAGCAGAGAAACCAAAAAACTAGAATAGATGTTGCAACCTGTTTTCCAAATAGTTTTTTCTAGAATCCTATTATTAAATAACCATTAACTAAGATGTATTTCAGTCTATGTTGATATATTCTGAAATGCATGCACAGAACAGAAAGACCATGGAGGAATGGTTCTTTTGCTTTGGTGATGGTTCTGCTGTTTATTTTGCAGGCTTTTATGCCATTAAACCAAGTGCTCTATGGGGAAAGAGAAAGCTGAATTGAAATGAATTGTGTCAGCCCAAACAGGTTTAACTCCTTACAGGTGGTCAATCATCTGGTCTTTAAATAGCAGTGCAGCTGGGAGCGGTGTCGTGGCTACATGTATTTATGATGAAGCTACAAGCGTGGCCTACTTCTGGGTGACTGCTCAGGTCCCAACCAGGCACACCTTCTCGGTCTCTCTCTCTCTTCCTCTCAGTGTATCTTTTATACACTTTGTTTTTAATCACTCAGTTTCTTGCCCCATTTCTCTTCTGTACACTGTCTGACTGGATATTAGGACTTATTGTGAGTAGTTAGGGATTGATCTTGGAGATTTTAGCTTAAATGTCTCATATTGTACTGAGATTGTATTTCAGGAATCTACTGTCAATATGAATATACTGGCTCACACAGACTACGTCCCACCTTCATATTACTAATTCTCTAACATATATGCTGTGTTTTATTATTAATAGTGTACTACATTGTCAGTTAGTGTGGAAGAAAATGTTGCACTATTCCGTTTTGGCAAGATATGATGCAATATGTGTGTTGGTGGGTGTCATACTGAGCTGCAACTTTAACCACAAGTTTCAAATTTTAAAAAGTCACAAATTGCGACAGAAAAATGTTGCCTTTTAATATTTCTTCAAAGAACCGCATGACACCCCGATGCAGATAACATCATTAATAGGTCCACCCTTTCTGATAAGAATTTGGGATCAGTGTCCATCAACATCAAAGTAAAATCAGGGGATTCTGGGGATTCTTTGTATTTTATGACCATAGACATATTTAAAACATGTTTAGAATTAGTATTACAATGAGTACAACATTGGGACAGAGGGAAAGAGTTGTTTATAATTTATGCTACACACAGGCAAGCCTGTTTGAGATGCTACATCACAGATGAGGTCTTGCTTGTTGATTTCCAAGTTCAAGTGAATTCCTGCTGAACAAATAAATAAATCTAATGCATTGTATAGTGTATCTGATAAGTCAAGATAATCTGGTCACTTTTGTCTCATGAACTCAATGAAGTGTGGATGTGAAGAATGGAAAAGATCAATCTAATTTCCCTGGAAACATTAAGCTAAACATGCATATAATGTTTTTAATAGCTGTTGTTCCATCTGAAATGTAAATAAAAACACACACACAGTAATACTTGCATCCACACACACGTACATGCATTCATATATTGACTGTATGAGAAGTAAATCAAGTAAACAAAACAGCCATGAGCACTAATTCTATAGTTTTTCTGTGTAAGGACCTGTCCATAGTGCTGAAAGAAGAAGTCTGGTCGCAAAACAAACAGAGAGAGGCGCTGTTGCTCATTTTACAAAGCCCAAGACTACTGTTCCACCTCAATGGCTGTTAAACCCGACTATCTGGGTCTTGGAGACAGTATTTTCGTTAAGAGATTTTAATTTGTAAAAATGGTTCCAGAATGAAAACTACAAACATTTTGCGGTCCAAACGTAAAACTGGGAATAAAACACAGGGTTTGTACCATGGAAACCAAAAATGTGTCCTGTATTTATGTATTCAAACTAAATACCATGCAAATTGATTCACGCTGGGGGTCAAATTGCAGCAATAAGAGCGTTTAGCTTATAATAATAATGGCGTAAAGACGGATGCAGCAAAAAATCTAAAATGTAATTTATGCAGTACTTTAACCTTTGACAGCACCAAATTTCCACATTTGCAAGTATTGGGGGTTGAAGTGGGGGTATAGGGCTTTTTTTTTGATAATGGGACTGATTTCTGTCCAGCGGTTCTTGAGACTTTTTTCCCACCCAGCAGCAGCGCCTCCAGCCTGGGATCGCCCGAGAAGTATTTAGTAGCCTGTGTGTATGCGTGCGTGTGTGTGTGTATGTGTGTTTGAGAGGGGGAAGCAGCCATGAAGACACCACCCAGCTCTGGAGGGGGAGGGAGGCGGTGCGAGTGTGTGGGAAAGGGAGGGTGAGGAGGGGGGGTAGATGCTCGTTTCAGCACCGCGGACAGCTCCCGGTAAAAGCAGCCAGCAGCAGCGGGTCGGTCCTCTCCGCTGCTCTGAAAAAAAGAGACATATCTAAACTGAGATTATTATTTTTTTACACCTCTCTAAGGCTGCAAATAAGAGAATATGAGCTTTTCGAGGACGGGGATTTAGTTTAGTTTCGGATCAAGCGACATATTTGTAGTGACAGGCAACAGACAAAACCACTACAGCACTCCCGAGGTTTGCTTGTGCAATCTCTGCGAAGTTTCTCGCCACTGAAAGGGATTCTGCCTCCTCCTCCTCCCGCTGGTCTGCACACCCCGCAAAAATATCTACTGATGTTCAAGGGAAGCTGAAGAGAAAACAGAAGTGACAACAACAGATCAGCGCCTTCTTCTGTTTGGACCACATCCTAAAATAAGTTGTTGGACTTCTTTCCTCCTTTACCCAGTTCTACTGCGTTGTTTTCTGGCTGCGTGTGTGTGCAGAAGGATTTATATTTGTTGGATAGAACTCCTTGTAGCAAAAGGGCAAGCAAGACAAGTTTCTTTTTCATTCGGTGCTATAGGCTTCTTTCAGTCGTCACCGGTTCCCCCACTGATGAAAGCCTTTGATGCGCCCAGATCCATCTCTCCTCTCTCGCAGCACTGATTCGTTCCTCCTCCAAGTCACCCATCTCATCTGTAACTTAACAGTCACTGAGGGACGCCCCGGACTGCCATCCCCCCACCCCCACCCCCACCCCACCCCCCGTTTTCGACAACTGCTCAAGACTGGTAGGTGATAATGGCCATGTATCGATGAATAAAATGCATATTCAGATTATAGTGAGGTGAGGAGACCCTGTCGAATAACAGAGGACACAGCTAACCAACTTTTGACACAGATCCATCGTTTTTTATATCTATTTTATTTTATTTTTTAGACTTGCTGTAAAAATAGTTGTGTAGCCTGTTTGTAGCTGTTCATGACTGAAACGATGGCGCTGAGTGGGAACTGTAGGACTAACCCCAAAGAACAAGCATCAGTTCAGAACAGTTTCCCAGATGTTGTTGAATTAAACGTAGGGGGGCAGGTTTATTACACGCGTCACTCAACTTTGGTGGGCACCCCGAATTCACTACTCGGTAAGATATTCTCTTCCAAAAAAGACGCATCTAATGACTTGGCAAGAGACCCCAAGGGCCGTTATTTCATCGACAGAGACGGGTTTTTATTCCGGTATGTGTTGGACTACCTCCGAGACAAGCAAGTCGTCCTCCCGGACCACTTCCCGGAGAAAGGGAGGCTCAGGAAAGAGGCAGAATACTTCCAGCTGCCTGATTTAGTGAAGCTCCTGACCCCTGAGGACATCAAGCACAGTCCGGACGACTACTTCCACAGCGACTACGAGGATGGCTCCCAGGGCAGCGACCACCGGCAGTGCCCGCCGCCCTCTCTCGTCCCCGCGGACAGAAAAAGCGGCTTCATCACGGTGGGGTACCGGGGATCGTGCACCATGGGCCGAGAGAGTCAGTCCGACGCCAAGTTCAGGAGGGTACCCCGGATACTGATATGCGGGCGGGTGGCCCTCGCCAAAGAAGTTTTCGGGGAGACCCTGAACGAGAGCCGAGACCCAGACAGGACCCCGGATCGGTACACCTCCCGGTTTTACCTCAAGTTCAAGCACCTGGAGAGGGCTTTTGACATGCTGTCGGAGTGTGGTTTCCAAATGGTGGCCTGCAACTCGTCAGTCACCGCCTCGTTTGTCAACCAGCACACAGAGGACAAGATCTGGTCCAGCTACACAGAATATGTCTTCTACCGTAAGTGCCACCTTTGCTTTTGTTACAGCAGGTCAACGTGGGCGCGCGCGCACACACAAACACACGGCACACATACACACCCACACACTCCCACACACACAATTGGCGTTACCGCTAGAAGGCGCACTTGTTTTAGTTGTCTTGTGTGTGTGAGAGACATCTGGATCTTGGAAGGGATGGGCCTTTCCAGCAAATTACTAATGATGTGGCTGTGCTAACACTTTTTGCCAGTTTTTTTGGTCATGAATTGTGCATTTCCATAGCAAGTTTATGAAACTGCCTTGTCCATGACCTATGGGTAGCCTGCCTCAGCTTCATTAGAATGCTAACACAAAGCCAAACTCACAGCTGTTAATGTCTGAAGTTTTGTCTGTGTTGTTATCTCTCCCTGGAAGCGATGAAAGCTTATAGCAGCAAACACATAACTGACAGGCTAGTTCACGTTTTGATATCAGTGTGTTCAAACCTATTACAGCATGTTGCAGCAGTCAGTTCACTCTTGCAGGTTAGTTTATATTACATAAGATTTAACCAGATTTTTACAATTTCACTTCCCATCTCAGCCACGGCAATCGTCAGTGCAATGATATTTTGTCAATGCTAGCCATTTCTCATCTGGGTGCAATTTTCCACTCCACCTCCTCTCTGCTTTCATCAATCTCATCCTTTCAACTTCATGCATTTCCTTCTGGCTTTCCTATTGCTTTCTCCACTGCTCACTGGCTGGTAGGAATCTGGCAAGACTGGAAGTGAAGACGAGATCCTCACAACTTTTATACTGGCTTTCTTAAGATTTTATGAGGCAACAAAATAATCCATATTCTCTGATCTGACAGTGTATGATTTATCCCAAACTCTTTGAAGCTGCCATAAAAGAGACAGAGTTTAAGTGACTCTGCGAATGTGCTCAAGTTCTTGGCACCTGTATAAATGAAAACTGTATAGCCTTTCCTGGAATAACCCCTGAACCAGTAGCAATGGCCATTTTTGAGATGCCATGAAAGATTCTGAAAAAAAGGCCTCAAAAATGAAACACAACTTCCAAGCAAGAGTAACTAAAACACAGTTACAATGAGGGAATTTGTTTTTTGCATATAACTCTATAACCTATACGACTGACTCATGTTAATGGTGTCTGACCACATATAGGACAACGAATATGTGCCAGGCATATAATTCTTGATTGTGAATCAAACAAAGCATAAAAACTCTCCAAGATAGTTGCAGCTGTCTGCAACTATGTATTTTTTTTCCACACAAGCCCTTTGTAATAATTTTGTTGTGCAGCATGGCTGCATCCGCCATAGCTTTAGGAATATTTGCAAATATTTATGTTTTGTTCCAATAGTTCCCACAGCTAACTGCATTGAAATCATTGTAACACATATGTCGACATCTGTCAGTGGTTTTCTGTGTTAAAGTTCCCAAACATATTAAATCAAGTCATGCTACATAAGTGAGATATAGTGCAGCAATGCACAATGTGCTGACTATTGCTGCAAATAAAACTGGAGAAGCTGCCAACAGTAAAGATCATGTGTCGAGGCCGCTATCACTATATTTACTAATAACACAGAAATCAGAAATACTTGATCCCCCAAGGGGAAATTGTTGTGTTACAGTTGCTCATGTTGCTAATCAAGACATTATAGTAATAGAAAGAATAATAATAAAAGAAAAATAAAAGTCTAAAGTCTAAATCTATAATTATAAATATGAGTGTGGAAATATGTACAGTATTCTACATTATGTGACAGAACAGGTTCTACTCCCATAGGCACAGTGGCTTAGAAAAAACTATCCATTTTCCCTTAAAAGGGTTCCAATTCAAAAAAGACTTTTCACCAGTGACTAATCTCTCTGCTAACACATTACTGAAATCTTTCAGTTTTTGTCAAGTGTTGAGTACTCACTAGGTGTGAGTTTCATTGATATTTGAACACTGTATGTAGGCCTATACTTTATATTCAAACCTCACACAGCTTGTGTCAACACAGCAGCAGTCATGTTAGTTCTAAATTCCTTTTCTATCCTCACATCTAAGACATTTGTAATTTATGGAACTGATGATTTTTGTACTTCTGGCAATTGTAAGGATGCGGTGGACACTGTATCATATTCAAAGGAAACATTTGTCAGTTCAAGAAGGAGGACATCTAACCCAGTTCTTTTTACTGCTTGCTGTCTCATCTCAGTGTCCAAGTGTCCAGATGTTTGGCAAGTAAAAACAGTGCTGCAAACATCTTTAAAAGGTTAATTGCAAAGAAGGCTCTAGATTCAAAGAAGGTTCAAGTTGTGTTTGATGACATTCTAGCATTATCTGTAAAATTCACATCCCAAAAAATATCTCTTATTCATCTCGCAGAGACGTGTGTTTGTCACCACCTTAGGGAAAACCACTGCCAGCCTCAAAATTCACATAAGTCAAATGATCACATGGTCACAAAGCAAACAGTAGTAAAAAACAACAACACATAAGAGCGATTTGCTGGTCTGGGTCTGGGCTAAAGGAAATGTGCATTAATGGCATGCATGGAACAACTACAATGACTGGATGGCTCTTACCGCCCCCAGAAGTAGCATTAACAAGCCAAATCAAGTAGTGGTGGGGTTTTCTGACATGCACACTACAGCCGCTCCTTGCTTACTGATGAACAACAACTGCTTCCTTGCTTTGTTGACAAATGTTCAGCTTGTTAGAGGGCACACACTCAAAGTGAGAGCACATACAGTGGCAGATGTGTTGGGCCTATATATCTCAACACACACGGTCACGCAAAATCCTACATGCAACTGCGCAAATAAACACACGCTCATGCAGAGGCAGCACATTCACACATACACACACACACACACACACACACACACACACACAGGTTTGCATGCGTACACACACAGAAACAAGTAGGGAGCAGTCACCCAGTGGATTAAGTGTACTCACTGACAGTGTCTTGTTTATCTGCCTGTCACATTTTTGGCACGCTCATCTTTGCCCCCTCCCTATGATCCTTCTTCCTCACCTTCCTTGTCTTTCCTCTCTCTCTTCTCCTTTCATGTCTTCTCATTTTGCTCTAGTCAATCACACCTGACTTTTCTCCCTTGCCTCGGTTCCCGCCCTCCTTCTTTCCAGGTTCATTTTGGTCTGTGCACCGCAGGGGCAAGAAGCAGAGCAGCGGCACCAGTTGCCTTTACATGCCTCACTGCACCGTCACGCCCCTGTCTCGCTTCCTATTCATATCTCTGTCTGTCTGCCTGTTCATCTCCATGATTGTTTATTTACTTTAATCTTCGGCTGTCTAATTCTACATTTTAGGTGTTTTGTCTGCCTCTGTCTGTTTGTCCCTCTCCTTATTACATACATATGCCAGTGAGCATAGCTGCGTTTCGACCAAAGGAACTATACCCCAGAACTAGGAACCTATGCCTTTCTCATTTGTTGGCCCTCTATTGGCCATAATGTAGGTCCTAAGGTCTTGGGCAACAGTAGCATCTGATTGTGGCTCTCACATTGTGTATGGATCTTGTCAAATTCTTGTCAAGTTAAATGCAGTATATGACCAAAGTATGTACGCATACATTTGCACTGAGCGCTGACCTTAACTTCATGGAACATCTTTAGGATTAATTGGAATGTCAGCTGCGGGTCAGGTCTTATCCCAGCATCAGTGACCAACCTTGCTAATGCTCTTGTGGCTGAATGAGAGTAAATCCCTGCTGCCAGATTCAAAAGTGATGTAGAAAGAAGAGTGGAGGCTGTTTTGGCATCATATTAATAATGTCCATTGAGTTGTAACGAGATGCACACATGTGAGTATAATGTTCATCTATCCACATCTGCCTTTTTGGCACATTTGATTACTTTATAATTGTAAACATTATTGCAAGAAGCTAACATAAGCATAGGGTTTGTGACTCATCTATTATCAACTCCACCAACCACCATTGGTTGCTTTGCTAAAGCTTCACAAAAGTAGCCTGCTGGACAGTTAGCAAACTAATGTGACAAAATCCTAGTTGTTTGTTTAGGCCAGGAGCCTGAACCTCCTTCACCTCTGTCAATCCTCTTTTTGCTTGTTATCTATTGCACCGGATTCTACACTCATCTGATTGTACCTATCAATCTCTTTTCTCATTGTGGCTATTCAAATTCTAGATAGCCTCTGAAACTCCAGAAGGCCAAATATATTTACCAATTTGTTGCATGGCTGGAGTGACTGATAATTAATCATCACTGTTGACATTTTGTTCTGTGGTATTCACGGCACGGCCTGACTGAGCCTTTCGCAACAGAACCACCAAACAACAGAGCATCCTCTGTGAGGCAAAAAGAGGAAACATTTCTAAAGTTTGCTAAGAGTTTTCATTTTTTTGGCTCAGGATGTATTTCCCCTGGCTTTTCTTTTCTTTTTATCACAGCTGTACATGCCAGAGTGAAGTGTGTGTCATTACAAAGGGCCATTCTCATTTGACCGTGTGTTCTGATGTGTGACACACTGTGCCATTAGCTTGTTACACACAGATGAGTAACTCCTTGTGCAGCAAATGTGTTTTGGCAGGTGGGAAGAAAGGGGTTATGGTAATGGTTATAGTGTTTGTGTGTGTTTGTGTGTGCGTGTGTGTGTGTGTGTGTCTGTTATTGTGTGACCCATGTTGCACTACCTGAGGCATTTGCACACCCGTTGAGCCACTGGCTAAAACACACCTGCACTACCCCCCCCCCCCCCCCCCCTCCCCACACACACACACACACACACACACACACACACTCATCACCATGTGAAACATCACGCTCATCCCGGCCCAATCGGTGACAACATTAGCAGTGGCGGTCCCATGCTGCAGGCCTGTAGGAAGTGATTAGCTGAGGAGCAGACAGGCCTGACAGCTCTGAGGAGAGTCTTGATAGGGACAGCTGCTACCCTAGCCTCAGCTCCACAGGGGAGTCCACCACCACACACCTCAACTCTGCATTATTCAGACTGAGACAAAAAAGAAAATGA